GGCGAAGAAGTCTGAGGTGACTTCTACGCTGATCTTGTGGTTACTTACCACTGCGGACACTCGTGGCCGTCGTGTCAACTGTCTTCACTCCGACCGTGGGGTGAGTTTCGCTCTAGCATTCTCCCTAGATTCTGTCGCGAGCAGGGCATCCGTCAGTCCTGGACGCTTCCAGAGTCCCCATAGCAGAATGGAGTTGCTGAGCGCTGCATAGGCTTGGTCATGGAGATTGCACGCACCTCCATGATCCACGCCCGTGCGCCCCATTTTCTGTGGCCCTACACGGTTCGGTACGCCGCTCACCGGCTGAATCTCTGGCCACGTGTCTCTCGGCCAGAGGCTTCACCGACAAGTCTCTGGACCGGGTCCCCTGGTGCTGCGTCGCAATTTCATGACACCTCCGCGGATAAGCTCTCCCTTCGCGCCCTTCCCTGTGTCTTCCTTGGTTTCCCCATTGACTCCTCTGACTTCACCTTTTACCACCCTCCCCTTCACCGGTTCTTTGACTCCCGTGACGTTCGTTTTGTCGAGTCAGTCCCCTACTACACCCGGTACCCCTGTCGAGGTCTTTCGGTACCTCCTCCTCCTCTCTTCCTGACTCCCGCCCCCCCTCCTGCCCCTTAGGTACAGCCCCCCCCCAGTCCAGCCCCGTCAGGTGTGTCACACGCTACCCCTCCCCCCTCGGTAGCCCCTCAGGTGCCGTCCCCTTCCCCACAGTCCTCCCAGCCTGCAGCAGACCCTGCGGGAGCTGGTTTTCGTGGCGAGGACCCTGGAGGTGCTAGCTCTAGAGGTGCTGGAGTTGGAGCAGAGAGCGTACTTGTGCGAGGTCGTGGTTCTGGGGGTGCTGGAGTTGGAGCTGAGCCCGTAACTGCAGGAGACTCTAGTCTTCGGGGAGCTGGTGTTAGTGGAGCTGTCCCTGGGGGTGCTACGACTGGGGGGGCACCCTCTGCTGGACATGGAGAGCTTGGGACGGGCCCTGTTACTTCTGGTGGTGCTGGCTCTGGGGGTGGTGCGACTGGTTCTTTGGAGAGCGGTCCTGGGGCTACCGCCGCACCGGACACTACTCCTCCTCCCCACCCCTACCCGACCCGGCACCAGGCCCGTGTTCGCGGTGCCTGTGAGGAGCAGCTGGAGTTCGAGCGAGAGGAGCGAGAGCTGGAGCGGCAGCAGCTGGAGCTACAGCGGTTTGAGCAGCAGCAGCAGCAGCAGCAGCAGCCGGAGCAGCAGCCGGAGTAGGAGCAGCCACAGCAGCAGCCGCAGCAGCAGGAGCAGCAGCAGCCGCCGCAGCTGGAGGAGCAGCGGTCGCAGCCGCAGCAGCAGCAGCAGCAACAGCCGCCACCTCCTCCTCCTGTCTATGGTATTCGGGCCCTCGGTCTCCCCTCTCCTTCTCCTCCCTCCTCCCCCTCTCCTCCTGTCCCTGGTCCTCCGCTTCCTCCCCCTGACCCCTCCCCAGCTGTTTTCCCTCCTTCTCTGCCTCCGTTGTCCCCTCCTCTTCCTCACACTTGGCCCTCGCGTCGCTCTCTTCGTGCTCGTCCCTCGTCCCCTTCCCTTCTGTGACCTTCGTACTGCCCTGTTTTGTTCTAGTCCGCCTCGTTCGTCTCCTTCTGTACTTTCCTTCTCCTCCTGAGTCGGCTCTCACTACTTCCCTCTGTACTCCTGTTACGGACTAGTACCGCACGTACTTTCATGTCCTCTCTCGTGTTCTCGCCTCTCTTGTTACCGACCCACGTGCTTTGCTGTCCTCTGTCTCCGCTCTTACTGCCGCAGTCACTGAGTTTGCCTCTACTCGCCGCCTTGAGTACGCCACCAGTCTTGTGGCTGCTCCTCCTACCAGTCCTCTGGCCGTCGGGGGTGAGTCTACGCTTGGTTGTGACGCCCTAGAGGACAGGCAGTTTGAGCTAGAGTTCCTGGCAACCACTCCCCTCATCTCTGTGCCATGCTGCTCGCTCCTGAGGGAGACCCTGACGCCCTTGACCTACCGACTCCTCGCACTTACGCTGAGGCAGTGTTAGGGCCTTGGGCCTCTCAGTGGAGAGCTGCCATGGACTCAGAGATGGCCTCCTACAGATCCACAGGCACTTACGTCGACGAGGTCCCCCCCCCTTGGACGAACGTAGTCGATGTCATGTGGATCTTCAGAGTAAAGCGGCCACCGGGATCTCCTCTGGTCTTCAAGACGTGCTATGTGGCTAGAGGTTTCAGTCAGCGCGAGGGAGTTGACTTCTTTCATACCTTTGCGCCTACCCCGAAGATGACCACTCTTTGGGGGTTACTGCACGTAGCAGCACAGAGGGACTACAAGTTACACTCTCTCGACTTCTCTACTGCTTTCCTTCAGGGTAGCCTACACGAGGAGGTCTGGCTGCGTCGTCCCTCTGCCTTCACTAACACTTTCCCTCCTGGGACCCAGTGGAGGCTGAGGCGACCGATCTACGGTCTCCGTCAGGCTCCTCGTGAGTGGCACGACACCCTTCGTTCTACCCTGCCTGACCTCGGTTTCCAGCCGTCTATTGCTGATCCGTCGCTGTTTGTTCGGCGTGGCTCCACACCGTTCTTTGTACTGGTCTACGTCGACGACCTGGTTTTCGCCACTGTTGACAGGGTTGCTTTGGCTGACGTGAAGCGCGAACTGCAGAAGAGACACACGTGCACTGACCTTGGTGAGCTGCGCCACTACCTTGGCCTGCAGATCAGCAGGGACAGAGCCGCTCGCACCATTACACTCTCACTGTCAAACATGGTGCAGCAGGTCCTTCAGCGGTTCGAGCTTCAGCTCTCCACAGTACAGTGCACACCTCTTGCTGTTGACCACAGACTCACTGGACCCTTCCCCGACGAGCCGCTTGAGCCTAGTGGTCCTTACGCAGAGCTTGTGGGCTGCCTCATGTACCTGATGACTTGTACTCGCCCGGACCTCGCCTTCCCTCTTAGCATCCTTGCTCGCTTTGTTACGCCAGGGAGACACCGTCCAGTTCACCGTCTGTAGTGACGACATCAGGCGTGGTGCTGATTCTTGAAGGGCAGCACTCTGTTGTACTTACTGGACATTGTGACTCTTTTTACGCTGACGACGCCGAGACTCACAAATCTACTCAGGGGTACTGCTTCAACCTGGGCTCTGGAGCTGTTTCGTGGAGGTCCACGCGTTCCTCCTCGTTCTCGACCTCCACTGCTGAGGCCGAGATCTACGCTCGAGCCATGGCTGCACAGGAGCTGCGTTGGTTGACCTTCTTGCTCACCGACCTTGGTGAGCGGCCGCGCACTGCACCGACCTTGTTCACTAACAACAAGGCCTCGATTCTTCTCTGTCGAGAGCCGCGACTGGAGAGCAGAGTGAAGCACATCAACGTCAGGTACTTTCTTCTATGAGGGTTGCAGCGGCGTGGACAGGCTCGCTTCGACTTTGTGGAGTCCAAGGCCAATACTGCAGACATCTTTACCAAGGCGCTTCCGCCTTGTGACCACAAGAGGTGTATACAGTTAGGTCTCGTTGACACAGGTTCTCGCCTTGCGTAGTCTTGAGTTCTCAGTTTGCTTTGTTTGTACATTTTTATATATACCTCTGTGAACTCTTGAACTGGCCTTGTGGCTCTTTTGCTTGTGCTCGGAATGTTTGGTGACGTTGTGATCCACCCTGAGCTTTGTTTCTCAGTGACTGGTCTTATGACCATACACTTTTGGTTTTGCTTGACACACACCCCTCACTTAGACTATGGGGGTGTGTCAAATGTTGTAGCCTTAGTGTTGTGTGTTATAGGGGGTACAACTGTTAGGGTTATGTACGCCAACCAAACTTAGTCAAACCAACACTTTCATTCTTGATACCGTAGCACACCCCATTTTCTACACATTACCGTTACCACTTTAGCTTCGCTACTTATTCTTCGCTCGTGCCTTCGCTCGATGTACTGTTTTTTCTTCGATAGTGCAATTCTCGCTCGCTCGCTCAATTGCACTCGTAACAGCTATTAGAAGAAGGTTTTATTTCTCCAGGGAGTGCAGGACTCACACTAATGCTTGTTGTAATAATACCTAGAAGTGGTGCTCAGTTCTACAGAGTTAGTAATTTTGTATCTGCAATCGGGTCAACACAAGCACGCCGCTGACCTCCGTGCCGAGCCCACCCTTTCATCTGCAGAAGGGCCATTCTAGCCTGATCTCAGAATGCACTTTTGCCACGTCATACCATATCCGTCCATCCATCACATTGCCGCAGCTTATTTTCAGAAAGGCGAGCAGCGGTTCAGTGCGGTGACTTGTACGTCGATTGGCCAAACACTCGACGCGATCTGCTAAGCCTGCGCTACCCACGATAGCGTGTGTGTGTGAGTGAACGTGTTACCGTTTGTGCTGCAATGGCAGCTGCAATGCGATCGTGCCGCCACGTGCCGTGCGCTCCGGCCCTTGGGAATGAGCACGAAAAGCGTCGCTTTGGCCATGTCGCCTTTCAGGGTAGGGAGATTGGCGGGAGCAGCACAACGTACTCATATGTCAGATGCGTGTATCGAATTGCCCAAATTGACTCAATAGCGGGGACAGAGAGAAGACCAGCAGCTAGTCGACCATTTCGAGTCGTCACCGCGAGGTTACCAGCGGGTTTTGCGGGGCCTCAGGACGGAAGGCTAGCAGCAAGACCGTCAATTGCGGGGAAGTCGAGATTGGCGGAAACAGCGCGATCTGCTGCTCCTGGCGCGCGAGTCAAAGCGCACGCCGTGGCATGGCGGAGCGGAGGGGGCGGCGAGGGAAGCGGCGGCAATGACGAAATGGGGAGAGGGGGCGGCGGAGGAAGAGGGGGAGATGGAGGCGGAGGAGGAGGGGGAGGTGGGGGAGAGGATAGCGAAGACGGCGGTGGTTGCGGAGGGCAAGGTGGTAACCAGCAGGAACATGGTTACTGGTTCCTATTGAAGCTGTTTTCTGATTGGTTTAACTCCCTTTTCGACGGCCTCTCTCCTCTATTCCACAAACGCCTGAGCGCCTTATCACTCTCCGTGTTTCTCCTTACCATGCTTCCGTTGCTCCTCTCCCCGCTCGCGCGCGCGGAATCCGCGCTTCTTCGCCGCCCTGCGCCCTCTCCTGCGGCCGCCGCGCCCGCCGGGGACCAAGAGGTGATATGGGAGCTCCACGGTGACAGGTGGCGGCGCCTGATTGGCGGAGACAGCAGCAGCAGCGCGAGCAGCAGCAAGGGGAAGAAGGGCCAGCTAGTGGTGGAAGTTGAACTGGAAGGCGAGGAAGCTGCTAACGCGTACGAGGAGGAACACGGACGCGTTGTAAAGGGGATCGTTACAAGCACGGGGAATGGCAACGGGAAGGCCGCAGGGGGTAGGGTTTTAGCGGGGGAGGAGGATGAGCGGAGCAGAGGGGGGGATATGGTTGCGCGGGTGGTGAGGGGAGTGAAAGCGGCGGTGGTGAGATGGATGTTACCAGAGGGTTATCCCGATAGTGTGACTCCTGACTATATGGAGTACACAGTGTGGCGCATGCGGCAAACAGTGGCGAGCGAAATGAACCACGTGCTTACAACGCAGGTGAGAGGCGTTTCTATGTCGCAGGCTCCTTCAATTGAGGTCTGTTTGCTATGTCTAAGAACCTTCCTCTCCCCTGCCCTCCTCTCTCCGTCCTTTTCCTCACCTGAAGCCCTTTCTTCTCTCTCTTCTCTCAAACGGTCCTTCGTGGTAAAGGACGGGCTGGGCTATGCAGCCGAGGTCACGCCCTCCCAGTTCAACATGTTGCATCCCTTCCCCCTCGAACGGTCCTTGCATTAATCACGGTGGGTGTTACAAGGAAGGTGCAAACACAAGCAAGACAAACAACCAGACCACAATTCTACCTGTCACACCTACTCCTTCCCACTCCCGGCCCCCTCTGTCCGACCCTACTGGCCGAATGGGGGCTCAATCAGCTGGTGGTGCAGCTGTCCCTCGCTAAGAGGGACGATGGGGCCCTGCATGCCGAGCTTGTCCGCTGCCAAGGCCTCGTTGGTCTTGGAGCGGAGGGCATTGGCCTGCGCTCTCTGGAGGCAGACACTCCAGCGCTGGCGGTACTCCGTCAGCAGCTTGGCTGCCTCGTATGAGGTAGGTGCTGCGTTGTATCGCAGCTTGGCCGCTAGCTCCGCGCACTGCCGCAGGTAAGCCATCACCCCCGGGGAAGGATAGCCGTATGTCTCGACTGCAAGGGCGTGGAAGCCCACCCACGCGTTCCGTCGCGCGTATTTCTCCTCCTTCCTAGCTGCTGCCGCCCTTGCCGCCCACCCTGGAGCCCGACTGCATTCTTCATCCTGGTAGGACACGGGATCAGTCACAGTCACGTCACACAACCACACTCTCTCCCTCTCTTTCCTCCCTCTCTTCCCTCTCTCCCTCCCTTTCTCTCTTCCCTCTCTCGCTTCCCTCCCTCTCTTCCCTCTCTCCCTCCCTTTCTCTCTTCCCTCTCTCGCTTCCCTCCCTCTCTTCCCTCTCTCCCTCCCTTTCTCTCTTCCCTCTCTCGCTTCCCTCCCTCTCTTCCCTCTCTCCCTCCCTTTCTCTCTTCCCTCTCTCGCTTCCCTCCCTCTCTTCCCTCTCTCCCTCCCTCCCTCTCTTCCCTCTCTCGCTTCCCTCCCTCTCTTCCCTCTCTCCCTCCTGCAGGCAATGCTGTACGCGGTGGGGCTGGGAAAAGGCGCCATCCCAGCAGCAGCCGCGGTCAACTGGGTGCTGAAAGAATCCAAAGTCACACTCTCCCAGTTCAACCTGGAACCATTCGTCTCTCCTCCCTCTCTTCCCACTTTCTCTTCCCTCCTCGCCTCTCCAGGCAATGCTGTACGCGGTGGGGCTGGGCAAGGGCGCCATCCCAGCAGCAGCCGCGGTCAACTGGGTCCTAAAGGACGGGCTGGGCTACGCAGCAAAAGTCACGCTCTCCCAGTTTGGCCGCCATTTCGACGTCTCCCCCAAGCGCTCGCGCCTCCTCTCCGACCTCGTCGAGAACCTCTCCGCCTCCCTCGAGCTCCTCACCGCCACCTTCCCGCAGTACTTCGTTCAACTGGCTGCTGCAGCCGGGGCAGGGTTCTCTGCTTCCAGTCTCGTGCAGAGTGCCACGAGAAACCGGTTTTACGCCGGGCTGGCAGGCAGAAGAAATTTCGCCGAGGTAAGGCAGCACCTTAGGTCGGGCAGGTGAGAGTGCCGATGCGAGCAAGTGGGATTGCCGATGTGGGCAGGTGAGAGGGCCTGTGAAGGGACATTCCCTCGCTCTGACCTCGTGGAGAATCTCTCCGCCTCCCTCGAGCTCCTCACCGCCACCTTCCCGCAGTACTTCGTTCAACTGGCTGCTGCAGCCGGGGCAGGGTTCTCTGCTTCCAGTCTCGTGCAGAGTGCCACGAGAAACCGGTTTTACGCCGGGCTGGCAGGCAGAAGAAATTTCGCCGAGGTAAGGCAGCACCTTAGGTCGGGCAGGTGAGAGTGCCGATGCGAGCAAGTGAGATTGCTGATGTGGGCAGGTGAGAGGGCCTGTGAAGGGACATTCCCTCGCTCTGACCTCGTGGAGAATCTCTCCGCTTCCCTCGAGCTCCTCACCGCCACCTTCCCGCAGTACTTCGTCCAGCTGGCCGCTGCTGCCGGGGCGGGGTTCTCTGCTTCCAGCCTCGTGCAGAGTGCCACGAGAAACCGGTTTTACGCCGGGCTGGCAGGCAGAAGAAACTTTGCCAAGGTGAGCATGATATTCTGCCCTGCTTCGGGCAGGTGAGTGAGAGGGCCTGTGGGGGGACATTCCCTCTCCCTCCCTCCCTCCCTCGAGCTCCTCACGGCCACTTTCCCGCAGTACTTTGTGCAACTGGCCGCTGCTGCCGGGGCCGGGTTTTCCGCGTCCAGCCTCGTGCAGAGCGCCACGCGGAACCGATTTTATGCTGGATTGGCGGGCAGAAGAAACTTTGCTGAGGTAAGGAGGTGGCTTGCTTCGGGCAGGTGAGAGCTCCGATGTGGGGAGGTGAGACCGTGAGAGGGCCTGTTGGGGGGGCACTCCCTCCTCCCTCCGCCTCCCTCGAGCTCCTCACCGCCACCTTCCCGCAGTATATCGTCCAGCTGGCCGCTGCGGCCGGAGCGGGGTTTTCCGCGTCGAGCCTTGTGCAGAGCGCCACCAGGAACCGGTTTTATGCTGGCCTGGCGGGCAGAAGGAATTTTGCCGAGGTGAGATGATTCTGCCTTGGGTCGGGCAGGTGAGAGTACCGATGGGGCAGGTGACAGGGCCTGTGGGCGGGCATTCCCTCCCTCTCTCCGCTTCCCTCGAGATCCTCACACTCGCAGTAATTCGTCCAGCTCGCTGCTGCTGCTGGGGCGGGGTTTTCAGCATCGAGCCTCGTGCAAAGCGCCACGAGGAACCGGTTCTATGCCGGGCTGGCGGGCAGAAGAAATTTCGCCGAGGTGAGATTCCGCCTTGATTTGGGCAGGTGAGAGCGCCGATGTGGGCAGGTGAGAGGGCCTGTGCAGGGACATTTCTACGCTTCAACATCGTGGAGAAATTATTCGCCTCCATCCCTGGAGCTCCTCACAGCCACCTTCCCGCAGTACTTCGTCCAGCTGGCTGCTACTGCCGGGGCGGGGTTTTCTGCTTCCAGTCTCGTGCAGAGCGCTACCAGGAACCGGTTTTACGCCAGGCTGATGGGCAGAAGAAACTTCCTGAGGTGAACATGAGATTCTGCCCTGCTTCGGGCAGGTGAGAGGGCCTGTGAAGGAGCATTTCCCCCCTGCCTCTCCGCCTCCCTCGAGCTCCTCACAGCCACCTTCCCGCAGTACTTCGTGCAGCTGGTCGCTGCTGCTGGGGCGGGGTTTTTGGCTTCCAGTCTCGTGCAGAGCGCCACCAGGAACCGGTTCTACGCCGGGCTGACGGGCAGAAGAAACTTTGCCGAGGTAAGGAAGTGCCGTGCCTTGCTTAGGGAAGGTGAGGGCTCCGATGTGGGGAGGTGAGACCGTGGAGGGCCTGTTGGGGGGCACTCCCTCCTCCCTCCGCCTCCCTCGAGCTCGTCACAGCCACCTTCCCGCAGTATTTCGTCCAGCTGGCGGCTGCTGCCGGGGCGGAGTTTTCTGCTTCCAGTATTGTTCAGAGTGCCACGAGGAACCGGTTTTACGCTGGATTGGCGGGCAGAAGAAATTTTGCCAAGGTGAGATTCCTCCCTGCTTCGGGCAGGTGAGAGAGCCTTTGCTCAGCGTTTCAAGCGCCTGTTCTGTTAGGATGCGATGTCTGAAGTGCAAGTGGAGAGCCAGGGAGGTGGCTGTAAGGAGCTAGAGGGATACATTTTCTCCCTTGAGCTCCTCACAGCCACTTTCCCGCAGTATTTCGTCCAGCTGGCGGAGCAGAAGAAATTTCGCCGAGGTGAGAGTGACTGGTTGAACTTTTGGTATTGGATTGGTCTGGGCGTTTTGAAAATGGTGCAAAAGAGACCAGAAATAGCCCTTGGGATTGCCAGGTCCGCAAGCACTGCTATGGCGCTGCATGTGCTTGACTGCCTTGACTTTTGAGTCTAATAAAAAGTCACGTCTGTGTTCATCCACTCCTGTGACCAAATCTTGTGCCCTCCGACTTCTTTTCCCCCAGTTTCATCCACTCTTCTGACCAGCTCGGGTGACACACCTGCTGCTGTCTGATCCGTGTATCTAACTTCATTCACTCTCTGCTCCTCCCCTTCCTCTCCCCCCAGGTGCTAGCACGCGCAGAGGCACAGGGCATGGTGAGCAAGACATTGGGGATGGCACTAGGCATCGCCATCGCTCCACACGTGGGCAACCGGGGCCCTCTACTCTGGGCGACTCATGGCCTGCTGTCCGCCGCGCACCTGTTCTGCAACTACCGCTCGTACAAGGCTGTACAACTCAGGACACTCAACCCCTTCAGAGCAGGTGAGCAGCAAGAAAGGCCAGGGCACTCGGGCACTTGCTGCTCGGCACCAGTGACCTGTAACCACCTGAATCGACCATATCTCCTTAACATGTGTGCCTCGAAGCAGCTTCCTCCAATGCTCTGCCCTCTTTTGTCCCTCCTGTGCTCTCTTCTCTTCTCCCCTTGGTACTTTCCCCAGATATTGTCCTGGCAGAGTATGTGACCAATGGCAGGGTGCCAGGTGTCATTGACGTCAACTCACAGGAGCCCATTCTGCCGCCCCTCAAATCGATATTTTCGCCCAAGGTAACTGTCTGGATGTGGTGCGTGTTTGGTGCATGTGTGGTGCGTGTGTGGTGCGTGTGTGGTGCGTGTGTGGTGCGTGTGTGGTGCGTGTGTGGTGCATGTCTGGTGGATGTGTGGTGCATGTGTGTGCATGTGTGGTACTTGTGTGGTGGATGTGTGGTGCATGTGTGGTGGATGTGTGGTGCATGTGTGGTGCATGCGCGTGCGTGCCTTATATTTGTGTTACATGCGCGTTACATGTCTTGTATGTGTGCCATGCAAGTGGGTGTCCTGCTTGGTATGTCACCTTCCGCCTATCACCCCTCTCCTTCCCTCTCCTTTCCATCCCTTCCCCTTCCTCGGGCGTCTCCCCCACCCCTCCCCGGCACGGGTAGCGAGAATTGGATCGAGTTTGGGGTGCCCTTGGCAGCAGTGGCGCACACAGAGAGACGTCTCAACCCGCACCTTCTCTCCATTTCCTCTCCGTTCCCTTCTACTCCAATGTTTGGGGAGTCTAAAATATTGCCCCACTTCGTCTCCGTTCCCCTTTTCTCTCCACTATGCAGGACAATCCACCACCAGCGCCTGGGACAGGGAGCGAGAACTGGATCGAGTTTGGAGTGCCTTTGGCCGCAGTGGCGCACACAGAGCGGGAGGCAGAGACCATGGCTGATATATTCCGAGGAGAGAAGTATTTGCTTGGGCGGGACGAGCGAACTGGACAGATGCAGGTGCGTGCCTTGAGTGTGATTGTGGTTTGGTGTGAGAACAAGGGAGAGGGTGTGTGGCGCACACAGAGCAGGAGGCCGAGACTATGGCGGGGATATTCCGAGGAGAGAAGTACGTGCTGGGAAGGGATAAGAGAACGGGGCAGATGCGGGTGGGTGCCTGCCATGTGTGTGTAAGGGTTGGGTGGGCATTAGGGGAAGAACAAGGGGAATTCCTTCCAGGCAGCCCTACAAGCCGCCTACCTCCGCACACTCTCTCCACACTCCCTCTGTCCCGCCATCCACTCTCTCGCCCCTCAAGCGCGCACCCACATCCAAGCCCGCGCAGCCGAGTTTTGCCGCCTTAAAAAACTAGAGGTGCTGCATGCTCTCCTCTTCCTCTTAACACTTTGCCTTCCCTCTCACCCCTGTCAACGCATCCCCAGGTTGTCTTGAAGGAAGGAGCACTCCCTCGGGATTTCCTCAGAGCAGCCCTGCAAGCTGCCTACCACTAAATGCCATCCTCCTCTGCCCACCGACATGCCTCCTCACCCCTCGCACCCACCATCCAGGTTGTGTTGAAGGAAGGAGCTCTCCCAAGGGACTTCCTCCGAGCAGCCCTGCAAGCCGCCTACCTCCGCACCGCACGCACACTCGCTTCACACTTCAACTGCCCCACTGCAAGCTGCCTGCCTTTCAATTCTCACCTCTTCCTCTAAATGCCATTCCATGCCTTTTCACCCCGGGGACCCTGTCACTAACCCACCAGGTTGTGTTGAAGGAAGGAGCTCTCCCAAGGGACTTCCTCCGAGCAGCCCTCCAAGCCGCCTACCTGCGCACGCTCGCCCCACACTCCCTCTGCCCCACAACCCACTCTCTCGCCCCTCAAGCGCGCACCCACGTCCAAGCCCGCGCAGCTGAGTTCGCCTCGTTTGGGAAACTAGAGGTGCTGCATGCTTCATATAACCGCATGGCGGGGGGGTTTGACGGGTTGTGTGAGGAGCTGAGAGCGAGTGGGTGGCGCTGCGATGATGGCTTGCTGGCGCGGCCGGGGGATTGGCGACTGCTGCTGGAATCAGCTGATAAGAGCAAGTGAGGGATGGGAGTGCAGCTGAGTTTGCTTCTTTCGGGAAGCTAGAGATGCTGCATGCTTCCTATGACCGCATGGCGGGAGGGTTTGACGGGTTGTGTGAGGCGCTGAGGGCGAGTGGGTGGAGCTGTGACGATGGCTTGCTGGCGCGGCCGGGGGATTGGCGACTGCTGCTGACGGCAGACAAGGGGAAATGAGGGATGGTTGGGAGTGCAGCAGCGTTTGCATTGGTGGGGAAGCCAGTTGGAGTTGCCGCATGTGTCATATCACTGCATGGCAGGAGGGTTTGACGTGCTGTGTGAGGCGCTGAGAGTCTGTGGTTGGCGCTGTGATGATGGCTTGCTGGCGCGGCCGGGGGACTGGCGGCTGCTGGTGTCAGCGGATAAGGGGAAGTGAGGGATGGGTGGGAGTGCAGCAGTGTTCTCCTTGTGCGGGTGGGTGCTGTGCTGCACGCTTATGACCTCGTGGCAGGGGGGGGTTGAACTTTGAAGGGCTAGGAGATGCATTTCCTCAGTACGGCACTGAGGGCCAGCAGGTGGCACTGCGACGATGACTTGCTGGCCTAACCAGGGGATTGGCGGATGCTGGTGTCTGTGGATTAGGGGAAATGATGGTTGGGAGAGCAGTAGCAGGTGCATCGTTTGGGAAACTCGGGGTGGTGGTGCGTCAAAGATTAGTGAGTGCTGACATCATCAGGAGATGATGAGAAATGAGGGATTGGGGGAGCAGCAGTGTTTGCATCGGCTAGGAAGCTAGAGATGATGCATGCACACGTGTGTGATGGTGGGAGACATGACATTTTCATTTCTTTTTGAGGAGATTCTAAAATGGAGTTAAGGGTAGAAAAGAAACTTATGCAACATAGCTTGAATATTGGAGAATTTGAAATACGCAGTTGGCACAGCAGATCAGATAGGTAAGGATAAGCAAAGATATGAGGTGCATGATGCTAGGAGACACAGGGCCTCTGGTGCAGTGGTTGATGCAACAAAACACTGAGTTCCTAGGTCTGTTGTTCTCCACCTCCAGAAGCAAGACAAGGCTTGGTGCATTAGTAGCATGTGGAGATGCAGGAGATGCAGGAGATGCAGGAGATGCAGGAGATGGCGCTGATGCAGCGGGTGGGGCGGTAGTTCATGCTGATGCAGTGGGTGGGGCGGCAGATGGTGCTGAGCAGGCAGTGCAGCAGGTGGTTCAGGGATGAACTGGTTGCGGTTGGGGATGGAGATGGCAGCATCGATGTTGTCAGGCAGGCCTCTGTGGCGGCCCAGCAGCATCACCAGCACCAGCACCAGCACCAGCACCATCACCAGCACCAGGTGCAACAGCTACAGCAGTGGCAGCAGGGGCAGCAGATACAAGAGATGCAGCAGGCGGTGCAGCAGGCAGTGCAGGTTCGGGAATGAACTGGTTGCGGTTGGGGATGGAGATGGCAGCGTCGATGTTGTCAGGCAGACCTCTGTGCCGGCCCAGCAGCATCACCAGCACGAGAACCAGCTTGGACCAAGGACTCCAGACGCCTGAAAGGTGCGATACGGGGAAGGAAGAGAAGCACGATTTGGTTCAGAAGCAGAAGACCCAGCAGCAGCATCAGCGGCAGCGGCGGCAGCAGCAGCAGCAGCGGTGCCAACAGCAGCACATGCATCTCTCCATGAATGCTCAAAATTCAACCTTTAAACACGACTTTTGGATTGACCAAGAAATCAGATTTAGCTGAATCACTGATATGCAACACAAGCACATCTTTATGAATGTTCATCATTTAAACAGTACAACAATTCATCCCCCCTATGATCTCCACACCTGCCACTGGCCACCTCCCAAAAGCAACGACAAGCAGGCGTGTGCTCTGAAATTAACAGAAAGGCTGACCAGACAGGGCCCTTCTTAACCTTGCAACCTGGCAGATCCGAGGTTGCAGCAGAGGAGCCATTCTGGGAAAGTTCTAAAAAGGGGCGCACCAAATACGAGACTATGGGAAATTATAGAAACGGAAGCAGCAGAGGAGCCACTCTAGGACGCTAAAAGAAGAAGAAGAAGAAATAAATAAAAACCGCGCACCAGAGAAGCTATACGGAGGAGTGACACAGTCAGGACCAGCTTCAGGCGGACAGGTGTAGCCCAAGGAAAGGCCCACGTTGCCATATCCACTGCGGGAGAAAAACAAGTGCAAAGGTAAAGGTATGGCGTGTCAGCATTGGGAGGCCCACATTGCTGTATCCACTGCCAGAAAAGAACACATGCGAGGATGGGTATGTTGGGAGATCTTCAGACATAGTCACCAGAGAGCAGCTGTGCCCAGGCAAAGGTTACTGCTAAGCCATGACAACAATGGAAAAGGTTCCCATTCGCACGTCCACTGTGAGCCCAAACATATGAACGATTTTCGAGAAATTCTAGAAAAATCGCTCACAAGAAGAGCAGCAGTGCGCAGGCAACCACTATTTCTAAGCCATGTCGAAAATGGAAGAGGTTTTTGGCCACTGCAAGCCCAAGCATACGCAAGGATAGATGGAGGGGCCTCAAGAAAAGCACCCGAGGAGACCGGTTTTGAGGCGCCTAAAAACAGAAAAACACCTGATGAGCAAGACAGGTTTTGCCGCACGCACCCCTCGCGACGAGTCAAAGAAAGCTTGAACATGAAGGACCATGCGATCTGATGGCGCTGATTGGCTGCTGAACAAGGGTTTCACTTTTGAGAATTTCTCAAAAGGTTTGACCACAGCATGCATGGATGGATGTGCACATACATGGCTGATGAGCACGATATCGCCGATATCGCTGCACACACAGCTGAGAATGCGCATAGAATCAGCACCTGATGAAGCGCCTAAAATAAAGCACCTGATGAGCTCGAAGGCGATGCTGAAGATGTTGAAGTTGGAGATGCCGCTGGGACTTTTGAGTCAAATCAAAAGGTGACTTGACTTTTGAGTCGACTCAAAAGTCAGCTGATGATGCGCCTAGAACAAAGCACCTGATAAGCTCAAAAGCGATGTTGAAGATGTTGAAGTTGGCGATGTCGCTGGTGATGTTGGCGCTCTCTACGAGGCAGATCACCAGCAGTGCTATGAAGAGCGATTGAGGGCCTAAGCTGTTCCTTGATGAAGGCTTGAACACAGCATGTGGGGACTGGGCGCACTCACTCACCTGATGAGCTCAAAGGCAATGTTGAAAATGTTGAAGTTGGCGATGTCGCTGGTGATGTTGGCGCTCTCTATAAGGCATATGACCAGCAGTGCTATGAAGAGCAACGCCGAATCCCGCAGAAGCAGCCCTCTGCCCTGGGTGAACACCCCGTGATCCAGCACTCCCCCCTGCATGGATAGTTGAGGGAAGACAAGTGAGCTGCATCAGAACACCGTTTACAGGGTCAACACCCCGTGATCCAGCACTCCCCCCTGCATAGATAGTTGAGGGGAGAGACACATGGGAGGTGATTTATGAGGCCAACTGAATCATAAGCCGTTTACAGAGCCAATCATTCAGCAGCACACCCCCCTGCATGACTTGTGTCACGCCAAGTGATACGCCAAGTGATACGCCAAGTGATGTGCCAAGTGATGTGCCATGTTATGCCATGACAAGCGAGGAGGGATGAGAGTGGCATGGATGGTGGGCGGTGAAGGATGGAAAAGCCCAGTTGTTTCTCAAGAATGAAAAGAAAAAAAATACACACACAACAAACTTTAATGAGCATCTCGGCCCTCACAGGTTACCTCAGGCCCTCACAGATGTAATGTATGTAACCCCATACTACCTTCACAGATGTAATGTAACCCCATACTACCCTCACGGATGTAATGTAAACTTGCCAGCAGCTCTTCCCAGAACACCCCAATGTCCTCATCGTCATACACCTCCCTCTGCTCCCTTGACGTCTGCCTCGTCCCCTACACCCCTCCCCATCCCCCACACCCCTCCCCATCCCACAAGTTCTCACTCATTCGCAGGGACTTGGAACAGAACTTGCCTGCAGGTCTTCCCAGAACACCCCGATATCCTCATCGTCATACACCTCCCTCTGCTCCCTCGATGTCTGCCTCGTCAGGTACAGAGGATACACAGCCACGTACCTGCTCACGTTCGAGAGAGCAGCAGGGAATGGAATGGAAGGGCGGGCGGTTGTGGGGATGGAAAGGAGGGCGGTTGTGAGATTGGATTGGAATGGAATGAAATGGAATGGAATGGGGGCTGGGTGTTTTTTAGAATTTTCAGAAACTCCATGCGAAGCCAGAGTTGGTAATGATATTTTTTTGTGCAATGGATTCATGGCCACACACCTGAGCAGAGTTTGGAAGGGAGGCTGGGATATGTAAGGGAGGGTGATGTCCCATGCACTCTCACACCATGCCCCTTGCACTCTCACACCATGCCCCTTGCACTCTCACACCATGCCCTTCACACCATGCCCCAAGCACTCTCACACCATGCCCCTTGCACTCACACCATGCACTCACATCATGCCCAGGTATAGCAGCAGCATGGGGGGGGCGCAGGAGGCCGATGGCAATTACGTTGAATCCCGCGTTGCGTGTGCTCACAGATTGGAAATATCCTGCCAGTACCTTGGTCCCGCCTGGCATGCGCACACACACAAACACAAAGGGTAGAGGGGGAGAAGAGTGGAGAAACTGTGTTTGAGGTGCCTCAAAAAGCATTGCGTGTGCTCACAGATTGGAAATATCCAGCCAATATCCACCTGGCATGCACTCACACACAACCATGAGGTGGGGGGAATGTGGAGTAACATTGTGTGTGGGGTTTTGTTTTGTTTTTTGTTTTTTTTTTTGGGCAGACAAAGCCCCCACCAAAAGGAAGAATTGCTCTCTTCCCAGACACATCCTCAGGAAATACGTACGTAATCCTTGTTTGTTGGTCTTTAGGTGACTTTTGAGTCGACGCAAAAGTTCCCTCAGGAAGACAAATCCTCTGGGAATATATACGTAATCCTTGTTTGTTGGTCTTTTTCGCATACCCGCAGTCCACATGCAACTCACTGGTGAAGCCGTCAATGGCAGGTGAGGTCCAGTCAGTGGCACAGAAGAAGACAAACTCCGTGAGATTGAACACGAGCACTGTTAGCACGAGCATCACGGTGGAGCGCGGTGGGAAGAGGTGCGTGTAGCACTTGCGCGGGTGCACGAGAAGGTAGGAGTAGACGAACTGAGGGGCACGGGGTGAGGGGGGCGAAAATCACTTGTCAATACAAGAAGAACCCAGTTTAATGAGTCTGCTTTTGAAGCACCTCAAGAGAGGTGCGTGTAGCACTTGCGCGGGCGCAAAAGAAGGTACGAGTAGACAAACTGCCGGCCAGGGCAAAGGGTGAGAGAGGGTTGCAGACACTTCTCAATGTAAGAAACGCCGACTGCAATGAGTCTGCTTTTGAGTCACCTCAGAAGAGGTGCTAATGGCATTTGTGCGCCTGTAAGATGAGATGCGGTAGGTAGGTGTGGACAAACTGAAGGGGTAAACAATGTAGGTGTGGGGGGTAGCAGATAGATTTTTCAAAATAGGAACCCTGCGGTGTAAGAGACTGTTTTCACATGACCTCAACAGGGGTGCACGCAGTGTGTGTGCAAATGCAGGAGAGCGTGAGTAGATGTTCTGAGGGATCACAGTGCAGGATGGTACAGTAGAAGAAGAAAAAAGGAGGTTGTTTTCTAGAATTGATGTGCAACCTCAAAAACAACCTGCAGGATGGTACAGTAGAAGAAGAAAAAAAGGATTGCCAAGTGTGCGTGCAGTGCAACACAGGGAGGGAGGGAGCCAGGAACAAGAAGAGAGGTGACCGGAGAGCGGTGGGGGACCTAGTGCGAAAACGGCAACCATGCGAAGGGAAAGACGGGTAAGGGTGCAGTCATTAGCCATCTACGAGACCGGTGTGGTGCGGTGCAGAAGTTCCCTCTTAGAGTGATCAAATTCAAGAGGGTGCAGTGCGGTGCGGTGCAGGCCTTACCCTTTTCTCTCCTCGTGAGAAGTGCCGGAGCAGAAGCAGGAGGGCTCGCAGCGTGGGCGGGTACATGGTATTGCCAATGAGAATGAAGACCGACGTGACGATGACCAGAGCTGGGGCCCTCACGAACCCCATTAGGTTATCGTTCAGCAGTTGCCGCCCCTGTGTTGGAAAACGTCGACATAGCCTGTGCGGGAAGGAGGAGGGAAGCATGGGGGCCGAGGGGTCCATTTTTAAGGCGTCTCAAAATTAGGTTATCGTTGAGCAGTGCTGCCCCTGTGTTGAAAAAACGTTGAAATCGCCTGTGGGGGGGGGGAGGGGGAGGGAGAAAAGCATGGGGGCCGAGGGAGGGACAAGTGAGGGTAGATGGAGGGGGGATGACATGAAAGGTGAGTGAGTGACCGGGGAAACAGCTGCCTGGGATGGAAGGCGGCTGACTGGCAAGAAGGGCAGCTGACTGACGTGGAATGCACAGAAGAAGACGCTGTTGACGTTGCTGGCCTGCAGAGTTGCCTTGGCGTCTGTTTTTGAGGCGCCTCAAAAACTGACTGACATGGAATGCGACTGACTGACATGGAATGCGACTGACTGACATGGAATGCGACTGACTGACATGGAATGCGACTGACTGACATGGAATGCAGCTGACTAGCATGGAAGGCGGCTGACTGGCAAGAAGGGCAGCTGACTGACATGGAAGGCACAGAAGAAGACGCTGTTGACGCTGTTGGCCTGCAGATTTGCCTTGGCGGAGGCAGAGATGCTAACGATGAGCAGCAGCAGCAGGAAGGCGGTGAGCAGCGATGTGGCGAGGAATGTGGGTACCAGCCAGCTTAATGTCTCCAGGGCCCTTGATAGGGATAGGGACGGGGGGATGAGGATGGGGATGGGGATGGGGATGGGGATGGGGATGGGGATGGGGATGGGGATGGGGATGGGGATGGGGATGGGGATTGGGATGGGGATGGGGATGGGGATTGGGATGGGATAGGGATAGGGGGATGGGGATGGGGATGGGGATGGGGATGGGGATGGGGATGGGGGTGGGGATGGGGATGGGGATGGGATAGGGTGGGGATGGGGGGAAGGGGATGGGATGCGGATGGGGATGGGAATGGAGATGGGGATGGGGATGAGGATGGAAATGGGGATGGGGATGTGCAAGTGTATGTGCATGTGCATGTGCAAGTACATGTGCAAGTACATGTGCAAGTACATGTGCATGCATGGGCAATGTGCAAGTGCAGGTTCCACATCGAAAAGGGGGGCATTGCAGAGCAGATGGCACAGAGAGAGGGCACATAGCATGGAACGTGGCACATGGCACGTGGCACATGGCACATGGCACGTGGCAGAGATGGCACATGGCACATTGCAAATTGCACATGGCATGTCGCACATGGCACATGCAATGCACAAGAAAATCATTTCAAAAATGAGATTTTTCGAAAGAGGCCCATCAGAGAACAACAGCAGGGCAGAACAGTGGTGCGGGCAAGTGAGCTATGAGGAGGGCCCACCTGAGCCACAAGGAGGGGAGGGAGGGCTCACCTGAGCCACAAGGAGGGGAGGGAGGGCTCACCTGAGCTCGAGGAATCTGAGTTCACTTGGCTGTGCTGCCGTCAGCCATTCATCCACCATTGCATCCGCGTAACCATCAGCAAACCCGTAACCATCAGCATCAGCGAAATCCAGATCCCCCCCAAGGCTTGTGCCGGTCACACTGCTTTCACGGCTCAACCTCCCGCTCCTCCTCTGCCTTGCCCTGTGCTCCAGACCCCCCAGGAATGGCAAGAATGCGGGGGCGTGTGGTAGGGAGTGTGCTCTTAACGCGGATTGGTTGAGAGATGCAGCACGAGTTAGCCTTGAGGTGAACAGGTCAAGGGAGGAGCGCCTTGTAGCTGCCGCCTCCTGCTCCTCCTCCTGCGGCTGCTGCTGCTGCTGTGCTCTAAGCGCCTCAAGCGCCAATTGGAGGCGCTGCCCTTCAATCCTAGCCGTTTCCCCGGCCCAAGTCATCGAGCTCATCCCCACAGCCCCCTCTGCCTCCACCCCTCTGCCTCCACCCCGCCGGCGCAACCCACCGCGTGTCACCCATCCCATCCTCCACATCCGTCCCCCGTCTGGCGCCACGCCCTTCGCCCTCACCAGCACCTGGAGTCAAGGGGTGCCGCCCTTCTCTTGCCTCCTCCAGGAGTTTCTCCAGGAGAGTTGTCAGGCCTAAGGGCCTTCGGCCCGTGGGAGCTGCTGATTCTTGAGGCGCCTCAAAAGTTGTCAGGCCTAAGGGCCTTCGGACCACAGGCGCTGCTGCTGCTATTGCTGCTGTTGTTGCATCTGCTGCTGCTGTTGCTGCATCTGCTGCATTTGCTGCTGTAGCTGTTCCTGCCGCTGCTGCTGCACCAGAAGCTGCAGCCACAGAGGCCACATGGACTCGCCTGCTGGAGCGACAGTGCCTGCAGTGGCAGCAGGTATCTCAAGGGAGGGGGCGGGCGAGGAAGAGACAAGAGGGGGAATGCAGGCAGATGAGGTACTTTCTTCTCCTCCGCTTAAGCTAGCAGCAGCAGCCGCAGCAGCAGCAGCAGAAGGGTATGCAGTGGGGTCACTGGCGATAGGATATGCTGGGCCTGTTTCAACGTCAGCAAAACCATCTCCTCCCCCCTCTTCCCCCCCAGCATGCACTCTACTCCCCTGCAGCTGCCCCAGCACTCTCAACCCGCCTCCTCCACTGCCTCCCTGCCTTCCCTTGCTGCTGCCACTGTCACTGCTGCCCCTGCTACCCCTGCTGCCCTTGCCGCTGCTGCAGACGCTCTTGGGAACTCGCAGCAGCTGGAGCTGCAGGGGGCAGACCTACAGACCAGGCTCCGTTGTTCCCTGATATGTTTTCTCCTCCTCCATCTCCTCCTTCTCCTCCTCCTCCTCCTCCGCCCCCTGCACCATGCGGCGCTGCCTGAGAGGCGGAGGCTGCAGTGTCAGAGGCCCTGGGGTCGTAGCTGGAGGGTAAGTCGGAGGGGTGGGTCTGGAGCAGGCCAGCGCAGGCGAGATGGCGGTGGAAGTAGTAACGGCGCACCAAGACTGGCACCAGGGACGTCACCACCTGGGCAAGCCACAGAGAGAGAGAAAGAGATGGCAGTCAAAGCTTGAGACGTCTCCAAACTCGATTTATGGCAGGCTGGCGTGGGCGAGATGGCGGTGGAAGTAGTACGGCGCACCAAGACCGGCACCAGGGACGTCACCACCTGGCACACACAGAGAGAGATGGGAGCCATTTTTTAAGTCAATTTTTAGAATCGTAAGAAATGACTCCAATGTGGCGCAGCAGGACAGGCACCAGGGCTGTCAGCACCTGTCAGCATGGCATGGCGTGGCATGGCATGGCATGGCGTGTGGCATGGCGTGGCATGGCATGCATGGCATGGCGTGTGGCATGGCGTGGCATGGCATGGCATGGCGTGTGGCATGGCGTGGGGCCTGATTGAGAGCATGTACCAATGAGGGTTTCATTCACCATGCGATTACTGGTTACCACCACGTCATTGTTTCTTTCTAACCACGCTCCTGGGAGCCCATGAACATGAGGAGAAGGCGAGCAACGTTGGTGCCATCAGTGAAAACCCCCACATCCACGGTGATGAGTCCCGCCAGGCACACACACGACGTCACATTGAAGAGAGCGTCTATGAAGCTGATTTTCCCTGCTGGCCCGCTCGGCGCCACGCAGAAGACGAGCGTGAAAGCGAGGATGACTATAACGAAGCACAGCATGTGCAGCCGGTAGAAGGTCACGCGCCGCTTGAGCCACGCGGGAAGAGCCACGCCGCGCATCAGCGGCGGTGGTGCGACGGCGCGCCAGGCTGAGATTGCCATGGAAACAGCAGCTCCAGCAGCAGCAGCAACTACCACTAGTTGTAGCACTAGGAGCCTCAAAAACAGGAGCACGGGTACTGCTGGTAGTAGTACCGCTAGAGCGTCACGAACGAGATAATCAATAACTTGCTGGAACGACACGGAAACGTGAATGGTGGAGGCTCTGCCGTCCAGAGCAAACGTGCTCGCTCATTGATCCTCCCGGGTGTGTCATGCGAGGAGAGGAGACGTTTGAGTCGACTCAAAAGTCGCCTCATAAAAGAAGTACAAGCGTAGCGGCTGTGGGCAGGTCGTACGTTTACAGCTCATCATTCGTGGCTGAGCTTCACGGTTTTGCACTGTGACGCAACGAATTAGACCGCAAAGAACGTACACGAGACGTACGAATTACACCCCGTCATTGAGCCTCAGATTGGTGAGTTCTGGCGGGTGGAGAGGAGAGGAGGGAGAGAGCGCGGCGACTCTCAGACAGCGGAGACAGTGAGCAGAACGATACTGGAGAGGAGAGAGATGCTCTCGCGACAATCGATGGTTTGCGGGGACGCGGGCCGCGGCCGCGTGAACGACTCGTTTCGGCAAGGTCACGAACAAAAAAATCGCAACCTGTCTTGTGAGCATGACTCGTGTGATGAAGCAATTTTCGATGTGCCTGAAAAGGCGACGACATTTCGGCCATCCTCTTGGCTGACGATTACCATGGTGTCGGTATTCCCCTCCTTACTACAATCACACGGTTCGGGACACCATTCTCGCCGTACAGAGTGTTACTTAGGCGAATATGTTGTACACCGAATAATTTCGACGTGATTCCGCCCGCAAACGGGTAGTTATGGAGCCTAATCCGCATGCTAACAGCAGGAAGTCCCTGTGCCTCACTGAGGGAGGGCCTTGCGGCGAAGCTCGTGCATGCCGTGCTCGCTTGGTTTGAGCAGCAGTTGCATCGCTGAAGATGTATTCCCAATGGTGGCTCACGTCCCGCACATAGCGGGTCTTGACTCTAGGAACAGAGTGGATGGCTCTCATTGGACATTTCGGATAAAGTATAAACGGGAAAAGTGTAAATTATAAATCTTATCAAGGAGAACACTTTAATATAGCCAAATTAACTTATCAAACTACTGTATAGACCCACACAAATTGGCTTCTCAAAATGAGTGCTTCAAAGCTTTCGTAACTTCAGAATGTGCAATAACTGTAGGAAACAACGTCCCTAATGCACATGACTCAGATAGGGTCACTTATGTTACTTAGTAAAACATGAAATGCCACTGTGCACTCCTGACAGTAGCAATCGAAGCATGCAGTACTGAGGCTGGAGACGAAAAGGCATAATTGTTGGAGTATGAAAGGAATCGAGTTAGCATTCCTGT